GTAAGACCACCTCGGAAAGAGAAGTTATGGATTGTTCCAGGGCAGTTACTGAATTTTCTATATTTTTAATGTCCTGGGCTATAGCCACTTTTAGTTGAGATAGGTGCTGATTCCCCGTTACCAGAGCTTCAGTCCCAGTTCCTACTCCTGCATCCGTGCCAACGCCTAGGAGAACTGCTAGGGTCAAAGACACTGGTTCCCTTTTTACCCTAAGATGTTTGTTCTTCATAGCATCCTCAAAGGAGCCCGTGTCATGGTAGAGTATTCTTGGCAGTAGCTGGACCATTATACAGTAATCCTTAGCTTGATTGAATACGGAGGTAGAGACACAGGGAGTTATCCCCGTGTTACAGGCCCACCAGGCACCGTCTTGGGGAGCCCAGTATTCTGAAAGAGAGGTATTTAGGGTTACTGTTTGATTGCAGAGGGCCTTTGTAACCGTCGAGGGAGGCTTTCCGATACATAAGCCGTGCCCCGTAACTTCAGGGAGAGTGAGCTTATGGCCTCCTGCCCAGTCACAGGAAGTGGAATTCACAGGCCTGGGCAGCCCATTAAGAGCTGTTCCTTCATAATAGGGGGGCGCTGCTGACAAGCAGAGCCAGCAGGGCCTGACACCTCCCTGAGTATGATTGAGGGCTGTATAGGCTCCCTTTATGAGGTTAAAGAGAGGGGGAGCGTTCAGTCGGGCGTTCGAGTTGGGCGAGGTAACTTGTGGAGGCAATGGGGTGCTTACAAGACTCGGGGTGGCAACGGATCTGGAATTAACTACGGGGTTTGGCCCCACCGCCGGGTTTGGACCTACAGCTATTGGGACAGCAGTTCTAGTCAGCTTAATAGTAAACCATAGGCCAAAGTCGGTTCCTGAGAAATAATACCTAAGCCCCCAAGTCCTTCCTTTCATCCAGCTAGTGAGGGTCGACAGTTCCTTTCCTTTACTGGTGAAGATGACATTTAGAGGGTTACATGTGGGGGTATTTTCACACGGGGTCCCTCGTAAGGATGTGCATTTATCCTTTCCCTCAGGGGTAAAGTTGCGCTGTACTGTAATCCAATCCCAACTAGAAGAGGGCTTCCAGCTAGCGGTCCCCGTGGTTTCACACCCCCAAGCCCCACAGTATAGGGATTCTGGCCCCCCACATTGAAAAATTTGTCGCTGGTTCCTGCCGTCCTTGGGGCATACATAGAATTCTAACTGGCGTAGTTGACACCTTTTGGTTCGATACCTGCACCCAACCCACCCGTTACCACCGCCCAATTGAGGGACATAGCCCCAACCTCCGGATTGTCCGTCCAGGGGGATATTGGTCGGTTCCCTCTGGTCTGGTAGATCCCAGGTGTCCAACCCCACAGCCAACTGACACACATCCAGATGGAGGGGGGGCCACCACGTCCCTGGTGTATGGGTGCCACTGACTGACCAAACGACCTGACCCATGGGGGAGATCACCTCCCAGGTGAGCAGCTGAGGTTCATGGGGATTGCTGCCTGCTGGGGGAAGAATCCACATTCCCATTACCCACACGGCAAACCTGAAGTTTAAACGGATTATCAGTCTCTTCCAGTTGCCATTCTGTTCCTGCCGCAGGCGCTGGTTGGAGGTGCGATGCGTGGACCCAGCTGGCGATGCCATCTACTTTCACTGCCGTCGGGGTCGTGAGGAGCACCACGCAGGGTCCTGTCCAGCGTGGTTCCAAGTTGCTCTGGTTGTGTCTTCTTACGTAGACAGAGTCTCCAACTTGGAAGCGATGTGGCGCAGTCACTTCCCCCGGCTGATAACGTGCGGACAGCTGCCGCCAGACAAATTTCTGGATGTCCTCCAGGGCCTTTAACCCAACAATTAAGGGGGTGTAAGGCAAAGATTGGGTATCTATAGCAGTGGCAAAACTTTCAACCGGGGGTGGGGAACCACACAGTACTTCAAAAGGGGTGAGGTTAAACATAGAAGGAGAAGGAGTGTTTCTAGCCCGGAATAAAGCATAAGGTAGGAGCATAGTCCAATCCTTTAAGCCAGTCTCCATCGCCAATTTAGCCAAAGTCTCCTTAATTGTTCCATTCATTCTACCTGTCCTGAGCTTTGAGGTCGGTAAGCACAATGTAACTTCCAAGCGATTCCCAGTATTTTAGCCAATCCCTGACTTACCTGTGCCATGAACGCTGGCCCATTATCAGACCCAATCACCTTAGGAAGCCCAAACCGGGGAAAAATTCCTTCAATAATCTTTTTGGCCACAACCAGTGCTGTTTCCTTGCGGGTAGGGTAGGCCTCCACCCACCCTGAGAAGGTGTCTACGAAAACTAACAAGTACCGATAGCCACATCTAGCCAGTTTGACTTCAGTAAAATCTACCTCCCAATATCGTCCCGGTCTATCCCCCCTTAGTCTCTTCCCGTTTGGTGTTTGAGTTGGGTAGGCGTTTACCGCTTGGCAGGCCTTACAGTTCTTGGTAACCCGCTCTGCCAGTTGCCGATTGTCAGAAGGAGAGAGAGAGAAGGGCTGATTTCTTAACAAGCTTCATAGCTTTCGCGCCCCAAGGTGAGTGAACGGACGGACCTGCTGTAAGTAAGAAAGGGCTTGTTTCTCCGATGAGTCCTTCCCCGCTTCCGATGGGAGTTCACTTTTCCTCTCTGCCACAAGGACGCTTATCTCAGGGTCTCGTAGGGCGACTGCCTTGGCTTCTTCATCCGCCCTCCTGTTCCCCATGACCATCGGGTCGGCCCCTTTCTGATGGCTAGGGCAGTGGATTATTGCCAGCTTGGCGGGTAGTAAGGCAGCAGCCAGCAAACGGAGGATTTCAGCCGTGTGTTTTCTTTCTTTTCCGGCTGAAGTTAGTAGTCCTCGCTGTTGGTAAATCGCCCCATGGACACGGGCTGTGGCAAAAGCATAGCGACTGTCAGTATATGTATTTGCCCTTTTTCCCTCCGCCAGCTCCAATGCCTTAGTTAAGGTGATCAGTTCAGCCTTCTGGGCCGAAGTTCCTTCTCGCAGGCTGGCCACCCAAATAATGTCCGTTGCGCTGACTACCGCCGCCCCGGCTGCCGCTTACCGCTTAATATGAAGCTGCTCCCGTCCGTGAACCATGTTACCTCCGGGTTGGGCAGAGGCTGATCTGTCAAGTCTTGGCGGACGCTGGCCTCTTCTGCCAAGATATCCTGGCAGGTGCGGATGACGGGGTCAGCGGTTTCATCCGATAGCAGGGTGGCGGGGTTCAGCACAGTCGGTGGGCCAAAGGTAACTCGTTCCTTGTCCAGGAGAATGCTCTCGTAATGGGTGATGCGGGCATTCGAGAGCCACCTGTCGGGTGGCTGACATATGACACTCTCTAGGGAGTGCGGAGCTGTGATAGTAAGTTTCTGTCCCAAAGTTAATTTGTCCGCGTCTTTGGTCAGTAGGGCGGCGGCTGCAATAGCCTTCAAGCATCGGGGCCACCCGCTCGCAACGGAGTCCAGTCGTTTGGACAGATAGGCCACCGGTCTCTTCCAGGGTCCTAGGGTCTGGGTCAGGACTCCCCTGGCCACCCCTTTTCACTCCTCAATGTAAAGGGTGAAAGGCTTTTCGATGTTTGGCAAGGCTAGGGCTGGCGCCGCTAACAGCGCCTGTTTAATGCCATCGAATGCTTGCTGCTGTTCCGGCCCCCACTCAAATTCTCTATCTCCCTTGAGTAATGGATAGAGGGGAGAAGCTAGAGACGCAAATCCTGGAATCCATAGTCTACAAAATCCTGCCGTCCCCAAAAACTCTCGAAGCTGTTTTCGAGTAGTGGGGACAGGAATTTGAGTCACAGTCTTTTTACGGGCTCCAGTTAGCCAGCGTTTTCCATTCTTAAGAGTATATCCCAAGAAGGTGACCTCCCTCCTGCATAGCTGTGCCTTTTTGGCCGAGGCCCTGTAACCTAGCCGAGCCAGCTCCTGCAGCAGCGATCTTGTTCCATACTCACAGTGTTCCCGAGTCACAGCGGCCAGCAGCAGGTCATCTACACACTGCAATAAGGTCACCTCCGGGTGGTCCCTCCGGAAGTGGCTCAGGTCTTGGTGAAGAGCCTCATCAAATATAGTTGGCGAATTTTTGAAACCTTGTGGTAACCAAGTCCAAGTTAACTGTCCCGATATCCCCTCCTCAGGATCCTGCCACTCAAAGGCAAACAGTAGCCGGCTGTCAACATATAATCGCAAGCACAAGAAGGCATCTTTCAGATCCAGTACAGAATACCAAACGCGATCAGGGCTAAGAGTGCTTAGCAGACTGTAGGGGTTGGGCACAGCAGGATGGATGTCTTGTACACAGTTATTGACCTCCCTTAGGTCCTGCACCGGGCGATAGTCCTGTATTCCGGGCTTTTTAACCGGCAGCAGGGGTGTGTTCCAGGCTGAGTGACAAGTCTTTAGGACTCCCAAGGCAAGTAGTCTTTTTATGTGGGGCCAAATTCCTTCCCTGGCCTCTTTACTCATAGGGTATTGTTGGACCCGAACCGGGACTGCACTGGTTTTTAAAGTGACGACCACCGGGGGCTGACATACAGCCAGCCCCAATCCTGCCGTTTCTGCCCAAGAGTTAGGATAAGCAGTAAGCCAGGTTTGAATTTCTAACTCTAGCTTCTTTTGGCTTTTCATGGAGTCGGTACTCATCTTCCACCGACATGGACAGTACAGTAGCCACTGGGGTGTCTACTACGGGATTTAGAAACTCCACTCGGGGTCCAGCCGGTTCAAAGGTTATTCGAGCCCTTAATTTGGTAAGCAAATCTCTCCCCATTAGTGGAGCCGGACAATTAGGGATGACTAGGAAGCAGTGCTGAACTTTTCCCCTACCCAAGTCCATAGTCCGTTTCGTAGTCCATGGCCGACATTGACTGCCATTAGCCCCCTGCACCAGTGATCTTTTGCTGGACAGGGGACCCAAGGGCTCCCGCAGCACTGAATAGACTGCTCCCGTGTCTACTTCGAAATTAATGGGGGTCCCCTCCACATTAAAATTTACCCTGAGCTCGGGGAGGGGATCCGAGCCCCGACGCCCCTAATCATAGTCTTCTCTTATGGCCAAAGCAGTGGCTGTGCTAGATTTGGGCGGCATCGCTTTCTTCTTGGGGCAGTCTCTCGCCCAGTGTCCCTTGTCCCTGCAGTGAGCACATTGATCTGGGTCTAAGGGAGGCCGGCACCGCCAGCCTGGCCCGACTCTTCTACCTTCTCGGTTATCTACCACAGCAGCCAAAATTCTTGCTAAGTCTCGGTTTCTTCTCTTTTCCCTGGCACTCTCCCGTTCCTCCCTTTCCAGTTCCTTTTTTCTCTCCTGCTCCTCTCTCTCAGCTGCCCGCTGCTTCTCCTTCTCCTCTCGTTCCCTTTCTCTTCGCTGCTCTTTTTCTTCTTTTGTCTCCCTTTTATAGTTCACTTTTTCTGCTTCCTTTACCAAGTCCCGCAATGTCAAGTCTTGGAGCCCCTCCAAGCGCTGTAGCTTATGGCGGATATCGGGGGCAGACTGTTCTATGAAAGCCATAGACACCGAACCTCTTTGCCCCTCCGACTGGGGGTCAAATGGGGTGTACCTACGATAGGCTTCCACTAATCTTTCCAGAAACATGGAGGGCGTCTCTTCTGGTCCCTGTAGCACTTCCCTTACCTTAGCCAAATTAGTGGGCTTCCGGGCCACAGCTTGGAGTCCTGTCATTAGAGACTGGCGATAGGTGGACAGATGCTCCCTACCTGTTCGCGTGTTGGGGTCCCAGTCAGGTCGGCGCAAGGGGAAAGAGTCATCAATGAGGTGCTGGAGCTGCGTTGGTCTCCCATCCGGTCCAAGGACGTTTTTCCTAGCTTCCAGAAGTATTCTCTCCCGCTCCTCTGAAGTGAAGAGGGTTTTTAACAGCTGCTGGCAATCATCCCAGGTGGGCTGATGGGAAAACATTAGTGACTCGACCAACCTCGTCAGGCGAGTAGGGTCTCTGAAAAAGGAGGGTTGTTATTTTTCCAGTTATAAAGATCAGAGGAGGAAAATGGCCAATACTGGAGTACCTGCAGACCCTCTCCGTTCCCACCCTCCACCATCGTTCCAATCGGTCATAGCGGGAGTATCACCGCGTCCTGCGGACTTTGCGCTTTCTTACTCCGAGTCCCCTGTGCTGCCCCCCCCCCCCCCCCGGCGATGGGGGAGATGCAGGAGGCTCGGAGGGAGCCGAAGCGGTACTGAAAGGACTCTCAGGTCCGCTGGATGGTGGGGGGCTGGGAGACGCAGGAGAGGTAGGAGGCGGAGAAGGGGGAGAGGGGTGCAGGGGTGTTCGGGAGTAAGGAGCTAACGAGTCAAGGGTTACAAGATCTTGTTGAGACTTGGGCAACACCGGCGGCGGTTTCGGCGCTACCGCGGGGTTCAGCGTTTTTATCGGCAAGGTTACAGCCTGAGAGTCAGGCGGTGGCTGAAAAGACTTTACCCATTCGGGCGGATTTTCACACAAATCTTGCCAGACTAAGATGTACGGCTGTTGATCCGGGTGTCCCTGGTGACCAGGCTGAAACACGGCCTCCCTTACTCTCCAGATGAGCGGTAGGTGGAAAGAGCCGCCGGGGGGCCAGTCCACCCCGAGAGCTGGCCATTCAGAGGCACAGAAGGTCTGCCACTTTGCCTTTTTGACTGACAGAGATCATGCGCCCGGCCGCTTACCTCCGACCAATGATTCAAAGTTAGAGACAAAGGTGCAGACACAGTCTGGCCCATGTTAGCGGACAACACAATGTACACGAACAGACAAACAGTGTAGAAAATCAGAAACCACCGGTCGCTACAATGCAGGCAACACATACAGACTCCGGAACCGCCTCAGAGCCCTGTGAGGATGCTGGCGATACCATACCAATGCTAAATGACAAGAGAATACAATCAACAAACAGCAAGACAACCAACAAAGTACCTTAACAAATGCAGAAGACTAACAAGCTTGATCGAATACCAAAATCTCAGCAGTACAAACAAAACGTGAGTCTGGAAACAGTTTATTCAATAGAAAAACCAAAAATATGCTAAAGAGGAAGGAGGAACACTGATGCTGGCACCGAATTCCCGACTGGGGGATTCCTGATGGGAGTTTCGTTTCGCTGAGCGTCCTCAGTCTCCGGGTCCTCCCGAGGCGTCCCTCAGGGCGGTAGCGTGTGGCTTCCGGGCACGTCTGCCAGCCCCAACGTCTACGGTGCCAGCCCAAAACCCAAACCACTTCAGGCCTGAACCCAACCAGATCAACTAGATACAGAAACAGAAACGCACGTGCACAGAGTCCCTATCCTTTAGGCGCCTTCACTTACCCCGAGAGATGTCCGTTGGAGACGTCTGCGGGCAGCGGAGCGATCTCGGTAGGACCTCCAAATGTAAGAGCTGAATTGCGCTCGCCACCCCAAGAATGCTCCAAGAGACTTTCTCTCATGCAACTGCAAAGGGTTTATTTTTCCAGCATGCCGGGGGGGCCCCGTCTCAGTACAGGCGGCGGCCGCGAGAAGTCAAGGGTCTTAAACAAAGAAAATCAATCATTGCATAGATAAACAGTCGGTAGAGTAAACAATTGATACAAGTTAAGTGATTTTACAATCAGGTGATTTATGAATACAGGGAGTACAGGATATCGAGTAAGGGCTTGATTAGACATCAGAGAACCATATGGCCTATACAGGGAGGATCAAAAAGCCTCCTATTGCCAAAAGGGAGGGCCACACAGCTGCATCGATGATACCCAGGAATGCAGCCGAATGGCGATAAGGGCCATATGGTGGGGTCAAGAGTTCCAGGAGCAAAGAGACAAACAGTGACTCTTTCTATCTTACTTAGGTGAAACTAAGGTTACATCTACATTGGGGTAATTCACTGACTAACTTTAAAGAGTATGGCTATACAGAGCAAGTCTAGTGAGGTCGGGAGAGTTCACAGAGGAGGGGAGGGGGTGGGGGAGCGGCTTTTAACTTTTTAACCCTTCAGTGGGAAGGCAGACTTCTCATCTGAAGTCTCTGTGTTTCAGCAAAGTTGAGACAAGGACGTGGTTAAGCTTGAGAAAACATGGACTGAAAACCCCACCTCGGACCCAGGAGAAACAAATGTAATAGGCGCGCTGAGCCGACCTCTGATCTCGGGAAACCGACCTCTGATCTCGGGAGACCCGCAGTCGGGGATCGCAAATGAAAACCGCGCGCCTGCTTTATCAGTGCCTTGCCTGGCAGTCTCTTCCCGTTAGGCTTAGGAGACAAGAAGGCAAAAGGGGTAGAACCAAATCTGCTATTTTAGCAGGCAAATGACACAGGAGAGGGGGCGAGAAGTCTCGTGTGTCCGCAGAGTCTGGAACGTGGCGTCCAGGCTGGTGAGGGGCGGCCGCGGAGTGCAAATGCATCTTTGTGCTCCAGTGCTCGGGGGAGGAGCTTGGGGGAGGAGCTTTCGCCGGACCCCCCACATCCTTGTTTGACTTTCACTGTGGTTCAGTTATTTTGTAGTCAGCTTAAATGTTTGGTGTTGTTGGGGTTTGTTTTCCTGCTGTGCGGGGTTTTTTTTTTTCTTCATTCTTTAATGTACTTGCATTCATTACTTTTCCCTGTGTGTATTCTGGGTTTGGTGTTTTTCTCAGTAAAGGCTTCTCTACCCACAATTATAAATTTTCGGCCGGCGCCGCGGCTCACTAGGCTAATCCTCCGCCTTGCGGCGCCGGCACACCGGGTTCTAGTCCCGGTCGGGGCGCCGGATTCTGTCCCGGTTGCCCCTCTTCCAGGCCAGCCCTCTGCTGTGGCCCGGGAGTGCAGTGGAGGATGGCCCAGGTGCTTGGGCCCTGCACCCCATGGGAGACCAGGAGAAGCACCTGGCTCCTGGCTCCTGCCATCGGATCAGCGCGGTGCACCGGTCGCATCGCGCTGGCCGCGGCGGCCATTGGAGGGTGAACCAACGGCAAAGGAAGACCTTTCTCTCTGTCTCTCTCTCTCTCACTGTCCACTCTGCCTGTCAAAAAATAAATAAATAAATAAAAATAAAAAAAATTATAAATTTTCTCCCTGTTTTCTCCTGACAGTTTGTATTTCCTTTGTTTAAAGCACTGACTGCACTAGAAGCATGTCCACGGAGAAATGAAGTCACGCTGAACACTCGCCGTTCTATTCCGAAGAGCTACCCACTGTCACGGGAGCACCTGCTGGCAGGGCTCTGAAATGATGCCGTGGGAGGAGGTGGGAGGGAAACCTTCTCCTCCGCTCTCGGGTTTCCGGCTGGCCTGACAGTCACACTGGCACAACATCCATTCATGGGAGACACACATACAGGGGTATTTAATACAAGGTCTACGGGCACAAGAGCCCGCATAAGGAAATGAAACCCAAAGAAACAGACACAGCAGGACAAAGAGAGAAGTGCGAGGGGCAGGGGCAGGGGCAGGGGCAGGGGCAGGGACTGGGGCAGGGACTGGGGCTGGGACTGGGGCTGGGGTAGGGACTGGGGCTGGGGCTGGGGCTGGGGAGCCGGCACTTAGAAATGACCAGAAGGGTCAAGGTCAGTGCAGGCTGAGGTTTGTGGGCGCAGAGGGCTCTGGGCCTCAGCGCGGGCCCTGGTGGCCACAGGGTATCCCACCTCCTCCCGTAGGAGGGCGTTTTCCACGTGAGATTTACCTCCCGCTTTCAGGAAGGAAAGGGAGAAGCCAGGGACCCTTCCTGCGCCTGTCATTTGTCAGTGACTCCGCCCAAAAGGCCTCACTTAGTGAGGGTGATCCCGTGCCTGGCCAGGAGACTGCCCGCCCTGCCCATGCCAGAGGTTAAGAGGGCCCGGCACACCACACCTCCGGGAAGGACCCTAGGACCTGACCGCTGGCAGGCAGCAGGAGCCCCAGGCACATTCCTCCCCCCCCACTTCCCACTCCCCACCCCCACCCCTGCTTCCAGCTGCCGGGCCTTGTAATTGTCAATCAGGTAAACAGCTCCCAGGTGTGGCCCAGGCCCATCAGGACCACCTGGGAGGCTATGTGGGCTCCGTGACCTTCAAGCTGATTGGAGAAGCATAGTGGCCCAATATCCGCTCTGTCCTATAGAATTAGCGTTGCCTGGATCAGCCACGCCCCCTCCGCCTGCCCTTTAAAAGCTTGAGATAGATTGTCCATAAACAGACATGTTCACCAAAACTTGCCTCCGGTGCTTCTTGTGGAACACCGCCGTCGCCCGCCATCCCGGCAGCGCAGGCCTCGCAGGACGAGCCCACAACTTAGGACGACACAGTCTTCCACGCTGCGCCCAACAGCCAGTGCCCACCTGCACTTCCGGCTCGCGGCCTCGGTCCCCCAACCCTAGAGGAGCGCCCAGCTGGCCCGGGTCCCCGTACCAGGATGGCCGCTCCCCGGCTGCCCAGCTAACGCTTCAGAATGGCCCCGGCTTCCCCCGCAGGTTTCCTTCTATGTTGTCCAGGGACAAAACAACTTTCACCGTGCTTCCATTTATAAAGTAGTCCGAAGAGACGGCTCCACCACAGCAAGGCCTCCTGTTGATCTACCCGACGCTGTTCCACAGTCCTGCTTTACCCCCCCCCCCGCCCCCGTCGTCCTGTGCTGTCTGTGGGGGCGGGCTCCAGCAGCGCCAGCCCGCACACACACGTTCACACACACTCACATCTCCTGCAGGAGGCGCTGTCGTGTCTGTGCACACTGCACACCTCGTCCTGGGCTCTCTGACTCTGGCCTACTTGTAATCCCACTGCTATGCCGGCGCTGTGTCAATACTGTTAGACTGGGTGACGTAGGGAACAAAGCCAAGAAAAAGAAGCATGTATGTGTTCAGCACAGATAACACCATTTTTTGAATATTTGAAATTCCTAGTGGGTTGACGGTGGCTTCAGAAATAAAGGGCCGACTGCATTAACTAGACTGTTATGTTAATTTTACCCCAGTTATTGCCCTAAGATCATCATCCCATTTCACAGATGGGAAAACTGAGGCACAGAGGCCAACTGCTCAGTTCACATGACCATTCAAAAACAGATGTCTTGGGGCTGGCGCCGTGGTTCACTTGGTTAATCCTCTGCCTGCAGGGCCAGCATCCCATATGGGTGCTGGGTTCTAGTCCCGGCTGCTCCTCTTCCAGTCCAGCTCTCTGCTGTGGCCCGGGAGGGCACTGGAGGATGGCCCAAGTGCTTGGGCCCTGCACCCG